TTTGTAAATATAATTATGCTTGAGCACTATTACGATCACTTGCTAATCACATTGAGATTGACGCTTGAGAGCGACCTAAATCTCCTTGTTCTTCAATTTGCTGTTGAAAAAAAAATCCATAAATGTAAAAGGAGTGAAGTACTTGAACAATTATTTTTCTAATCAATCAATGAAAATTTCGACTAATAAACGCAACTCTATGATAAAAAAAGGAACCAATAAAGATTTTTTTTCTGACGTATTAAATTTTCATTATGTGTTTTATTTATTGGAATAATCAATACAATTGATTCGTCAATTATTAATAATAATTTACCCTCAGACCCGTTCCGAACGGTTGATTAAGGTGCTTGAGAATACCTTTATTTAATTTTTTTACTAATAAAAATAATTTGAATTTCGTAATAATCTTTATTAAATGCGATATTATTTAAATAACTACCTTTGAGTTTAGTGCACTTGATTCAAGTTCGTAAAAGTATTTTCGCTACATTAGGCGTGACCGTGTTTTCGAGCTAGGCGTAGTTAAGCTGCTCTTTTCTACCATAATATTACCATATTATTAACTAATTTTTAAATATCCAGTATTCGACGATGAGAATGTGAAATTTATTTTTTAAACCTGCCAATGTATAATCACAATGATCACGTGCATGAATAATGTGTTTTACTGAACTCAATATTGTTCAATAAAATTAAGTTCGGGTGAAATTATAAAATAAAGGAAAATAAATCAATATTCTTAGAAAGTTTTTTTGATGGAAAAATGGGTTGTAATGATATTATTCGACGAGCACAATAATTTCATCTATTTTTTTTAATTAAAAATTTCGTTTTTGAATTCTCATAAAATGTGAAAAATGAATTTTAATAATGATAAACAAAAAAAAAAAAGCGATAAGATATTATTATTGAAAATGATTGCTTTTTATACTTGTCAAGAAAAAACATGCTCACGATCAAAATATGGTGATATGGTCTCAAGTTTGGAAGTGATTCATGTTGATTGATTTGATTGGCCAGAGTCTAGACACTTTGTAGTCACAGGGTATGTTGCACACTAGAAATGAAATCAAATACATTTTCACAATACACTTTTAAGGAATTCGAACTCTAATTCCTCCGTGCATTGCAAATAATGAACTGTTGAATAAAACATATGTAAACTTGAAGTTATTTTGTTGTACTATAATTATAACATCCAGAAACATAGTGACAGTGCGCAAAATATTTCGGTACAAGATTATACAGGTAAGTACTATACAGTATGGCTGTATAATACAGGCCGATGTTTAAAATCAATATACTATACTGATCTGGTGTTATACATTATTACTTTTAAAATTCGCCTGCACTATATTAATCTGCCATACTGATCGGTAGCTTTTTAATTATTAGTATTAGTAATGATAACAAATTGACAGAATTTTTTCAATCGATTAGTTGGTTGTTTCAAATTTTTAATCAATTAATTGTCAACTAAACGATTATTCAATTTTCAATCCATTTTTAATTGTAAGTTGGCAAAAAGTTTTCAATCAATTGGTAGATTTTTTTTCAAAATTTCAACAGATTAGTCGTCAACTAAGGGCGTCCTCAAGCGCCTCAATTAATGGGCCAAAGTATGTCGAAATTGTGTCGGGAATTAAATTTTAATTAACGGAAAGTATTTTTAATCGATCAATCGAGCCTGTCATTAAAATAAGTAAGATAGTTTATTATATGTAATAAAAAATTTTAAAAGTAAAAACTGATCGGTGAGTTTATTATTTCAGTCAAAAAAACTTTTTGTCCCGAACCACCTTTTTTTGCGCTGACATATCAAAACTAAAGTGAATAAAGTATTGCCAAGTGTTTTCACACTTTTATTATGAATTTTCATTATCGACACACATTTTTGTAAAATATTCGATAAATTTTTTAAATTCTTTCAGAAGCCTTTATTTATTAGAAAACCACAGGAATATTAGTATTTGAGCATACAGTATCTTAATAATGTCGTCATTCGTATTATTGACTTTATTCAAAATGTTATGACAATAGCTAAAATTATGTTATAATGCTTGTGCTTGAGAATACCCTAAACCAATTATTCGATTGATTTTCGATTTGTGTCATATGTTGCTAAATAAATGCAAGACTATCGGTCTAAATTTTAGTATGTTGATTTAGAATCATTTTGGTTGAATTCTGTATTATCGCTTATACTGTATTATAGCGGTTTGCAGATCATAATGAATCCGATTCTTAAATATTCCAAATAAAATATAGACGTTATTGATCGATCAAATTTTCCACTGTCATCGGTACGAAATCACACAGGGTCACAACTTTTGCAAACCGTCATTAATAAAATATTACAAGATTCTATCAAGTTTTTATGCGAATCCTTATGATTAAGCTTATGGCTGTGTATGGCTTCAAAATATTACCTGATACATCTTACTACTACTACTGTTAGTGGCAAACCCGCCGAATTCGACGTCACGAGGCCCGAAAACGTGACAAAAGGCTCGAATCGGAGCCCAAGAAATCGGCAAGAAATCGGGAAGAATCCGCTTTGGCAATCAATTAAGAATAAAAAAAGATAGAGCTTGGAATTGGACTCAATCGTTAATATACTTTTTTTGTTTTTTCATGCACAACACTTTCAAAAAAATTTCTTCGCTTATTATTTTTACTATTTACTATCGGCTATGTTAAACAAATGTCTGACCCGTCGTCTTGACAGTAGCATCTTTGCTTTTAAAATTCAATATAGAAAATTAAATTTAGTTAAGCTAAAAATACTTGAATGTATTTACAATAAGTGAAAAACTTTCTAAAAACAATAAATATAGCAGTTTAAATTTTTAGATTAATTAATTATTTATAAATGTTATCAAATTTTGAACTTTTAAATTGTAAATAGTAAAGAGAAATCTTATTAACTATTACTTTCCAAATGCATTGAATGAAAGATGCTAATTTAAGAAATTTATTTTTTAACATCACTAAATAAAACACATCTTAACAACTCTGAAACAACAAATATATTTAAACCATTTCCCAATAATCTATATTTCTGAATTATACTAATATCATCAGGAAATTCCAAATAATTTGATGTTTGCATTAATTCAAAACAATTATACAATTTTGGAGTATAATTATCAATAGAATCAATTACATTTTCATTTTTTCTACTTGAATTTGATGACAGGTGAGATTTTAAAGGAAATGCATGTAATTTTGCAATTTCTGTTGGCGTAAAAAATCTTAATCCAAGTTCAAGCAATGATTTGGGATTTTCAAAATTGTAATCCGTAAACTGTAAAAAAAAAAAGCATTTGATTTTAATACGTAATTATAAAATAATTATAAAATATAATCTATATATTAAGATACCTCTAAATTTTTGGTTTGTATAAGTGAACCACTTCCAAATATATGATGACTACCGTAAGACTATTAATATTTAAAAAAATATTTTAAAATAAATTTTATAGCTTAAATTCATATAGCAATTGCAATATTATGATTATACTTTTGTAAAGCATGAACATCTTTTATCGGTTGGCCTTACAATATCTGTAAAAAGAATATTGTATACTGTAAGAACATATTAATGTGTCAAATTGTTCAAATTGTTTATACTGTATACACACCAAATTTAAAATTATAGCTTTTCAAAATATACTTTTCAGGAACTAAATATTTATTTAATTCTTTTTCATCCAAGATATTTTCGATATAATTGCTCAATTCAGGAATATCAAATTCCGAAAGTTGCCAGTCCTGTTGCTGCTTCCAGTGATGACATTTGTTATTGTCTTTGTTATTCAACATACATTCAAATGGCCAAGAAGCATGTATAGTCGCTTGTTCAAAGTATTTCTGTGGCATAATCGCTTTCTCCAGTTTGCTAAACTCTTGTAATTTTCGTGCAATTAGATAATATCTCAATCGATCATTTGGAATACCAAATTGCAAAGGAGTTAATAAACATTCATGAATTTCATAATTCATCTGACATAATTGTCTAATTAGTTTCTCCCGAGATCTTGATTTCTAAATTCAAATACACGCATATAAAATAAAAAAAATCTTTAAAAGACAATAAATACAATACATGTATAAATACCTCAAAATTCAATACATTTTCAAGAAATATGTAATTTGGAGGATTAGATAATTTAGCCAAAATATCAATCAAATGAAGCAACCCTTTTGCTCTCGGATCTTGATCATCTAGTCCTTTTCCACCACGGGTATATGGTTGACATGGTGGACTCATTAACCAACAATTTGCATCATATCTCTCAATATCATCAATGCTTAAAAAATCGATTCCTTTCTTAAAAAAAAAAAAAAAAAATAAAAAAAAAATATAAAACAAACAAAAAAAAAAAAAAAAAAAAAAAAAAATAAATCATTAAAAAAAAAAAAAAAAAAAAAAAAAAAAAAAAAAAAAAAAAAAAAAATTAAATTTAAACCAAATAATAAAAAATAATAAATTTGGAAACTTTATGATTTGACAAGAAATACCGTCACTGGATTTTTTCCAAAATTATGTTTGTATGCAGCATTCGCTATGATATTTATATCGAAGCTAGCAACAACTTCTCCAAGAGGACATGCGAGATTAAAAGAATAATGCTATGAAAAATTTATATATAGAAAAAAAATTGAACTAATATTTACTGTAAATAGACAAGAGAAAATTATTATAGTTACAAGGCCGCCTATTCCACTAAAGAATTCTAAACATCGGATGTGTTTTAATGAATAATTCATTTTCCAAAAATTTTCAATCCTTTTTTTTTGATAAATTTATTAATATATTGATCGTAATAAAAATTATTGAATTAAAGAAATATATAAGTTGACAATATTGTATATATTTAATATTAATATAAACGATCTATGATTTTGACAATTACAATTACATAAAGCTGAAAATTTTATTGGATAAAGTATATTTTGATGGAAACTACGTATAAAAATTCAAAAATCATATTACGTAATTTCATCATGCACATCAGCCATCTCTAATCGTTTCATAAAATGTTGTATACGCCACAACCGCAGTATAAAACAATAGGATTTACGTATATATTTTACACATTAAATACGTAATTCCTTGATCATCAGTTGCGATATGACATGATATTTTTAGCCAAAAAACTATAAATATGATGTAGTTTGTATCAATATCATTCTACTGTAATATCAAAAATTCAAGATGATAGCGTTACCAAACGAATGTCTTTCTGAAATATTCAATAACTTTCAAAATAGTTATAAAAGTTTATTTTCATGCCTTCTTGTAAACCGTCAATGGTGTAGAAATATTGTACCAATATTATGGAGTAAACCACTAAATGATTTTAGAGATGCAAGGATTATAAAAATATACCTTTTGGCATTAAATGCCGAAGAACAAGCTCAATTAATTCCATTTGAAATAATTTTCCCTAATGATTCAAAACCATTATTTGATTACACAGAACACGCTACATCTATTGTTGATTATAATCTTTGTGAAGGAATTACAAATTGGCTTGATGATGAAGGACGTGGTATTCGTGATGTAACTTACTATTCTAAGCATGATGAGAATATTATTAGGGTAGTAAAATCTTCATTAATTTCAATGCTTCTACGAAAAAGTGAAAACCTCAAGTTTGTAGGTTTTTATGAGACTGTTCATGACAAAATAATGAAGGTTTTAGTAGAAGTTTTATATAGAAGCACCGCTATTAAAACCTTAAACATTTGTTTTGATAATCTCGGATCTGAAGAAGGAAAATTGATTGTAGAAGCTCTTCATAGAAACCTCATTTCGGAGCCTTTGAGGACTAGTGATAATCATCTTGGTATTAACGATGGAAGGGCAAATCGTGAGTTGAATTAAATATGAATTTCTTTACTAGCTCTTATCACGTGTACTAATAATTATTTTTTTATAATTATAAAATTATAGATGTTAAGTTCGATTTTACAGAAGAGTTGCTTTCTGTCACATATAATAGAAATGAACAATATAACGGGACATACTTGGATTCATTATACCTTACCGGATCATTACCGACATCACCAACATCTAATGATACTGTAATACCAAAATGCAAGGAGATTGTAATTACATGTGAATCTCACGATCAAGGATGGTCATCTTATCCTCAGGACAACGGTACATACAATAATTCGTGGACATGGGGAGAAATTTCTATTATTACCTCAAAGCAAAACAACAATCTGCAGGATCAATTAATTAACTACGAAGCTATTGAAAAGCAGCCGAAAACACGATTTAGGGTTTATACAAACAAACATGCAGATAAGAATTGGCAAGTACATAAACAGGAGTTCTTTTCGGATCATCCACTTGTACAAAGTCTGCAACCTGGTGATATTGTGGGACTTTGGATTAGATCTGACTTTCCGGGTTGGTGTAATTACATCAAGCGAGCTGAAATAAAATTCTACTACACTATCTAGAATTATTTTCATAATTCAATAAAGACAAATCAATTGGGTAAAATTTGGTGGCATTAGATACTGTATCAACATTATATTTTTTTTGTAAAATATCAAATAGTTTTAAAATACTTTATATTTAGTCAATGTGAATTTTTTATCAAATCGATTTCATTTTTATTAGTGTAAAATAATAAAATTTGAATTTACAGATCAAAATAAAAAAAGATATCGATGATTTCTAATTTTCGATTTCTTTAGCATTACTTCTGATGTCATATGATGTTATGTATTTATATTATACTGTATGAAGACTTACATGCGTATATGTTTCGCGTCATTTTTCAATCTATGTTGCTTCGAATTTAAAATAACGTACGTTAGTTACTTTGTAATCGGTGAAATAAGTAAAAATTTATTAAACACTGATATTACAAATTTAAATATCTGATATGCCATTTTGATTACTTAAATTTTGTAAAAAGAAATTTTGTAATCATATGTTACCGTATTTTCGCGAAATAACAGGCCGGGGCGTTATTTAGAGTTATGGCCCGAAATTTGAAATTACACCCCGGTGCGTTATTTCGCGAAAATGCGGTACGCGTCATTTCTGACGACAGTTATTTTTTAATCTCCATCGATTGAAAGTAACTCAAGTCAATCGTGATGTATTTTATATTAAATTATATAAAGGAAATTGCATAATATAATATTACGTATTTTGTCGATAAGCAAAAAAGTATATGAAAGATATTACGTATTTTATTTGTAAATTATAATTTGTAAGGTAACATAAATTATTTTTCCTGACAATCACTATCTACCGGCAATTCGGCTTACGAGTAAGGGATACTGTATATATTTGCTTATATGTACCCACAAGTTCTAATTAAATCAACTCCGTATCATAAATAACCTAAACGTTTAAATAAAATAAAGTTTTTTGTAAGTGCCAAAAGACAAAATAAAAACTTGATTAAAAAATTTTATTTTCGTTTTGATGTGTTAACAATTTAAACATTTAAATAATTGGAATTTTTTATTATTTAAGTAAGATTCACGAAAACTATACTCTATTTTATATACATATTAATCTATTGTTCTAATTTCAGATTTGGATTATATGTCGTTAATTTAATAGCAAGATGATTTCTAATAAGGTTCAAATCTTTTAACGTAGTGTTTTTGCAAAGTGCATCAGCTAATGATTTTCCTCCTTCTGATCCAAGTTGGTTATTAAAAAGATTCAAATAAGTCAGCGTGGTGTTCATGCAAAGCGCATCAGCTAATGCTTTTCCTACTTCTGATCCAAGTTCATTATCAGAAAGATTCAAATAAGTCAGTGTGGTGTTCCTGCAAAGTGCATTAGCTAATGCTTTTCCTCCTTCTGAACCAATATAATTCACACCAAGTTCCAGAGAAGTCAGCGAAATGTTCTTGAAAAGTGCATTTGCTAATGCTTTTCCTCCTTCTGATCCAAGATAATTATGGCCAAGATTCAAAGAAGTCAACGTGGAGTTCTTGCAAAGTGCATTTGCTAATGCTTTTCCTCCTTCCGATCCAAGATTATTATAATGAAGGTTCAAAGAAGTCAGCGTGGAGTTTTTGCAAAGTGCATCAGCTAATGCTTCTCCTCCTCCTGAACCAAGATTGTTATTCCAAAGATTTAAAGAAGTAAGCGTGTTATTCTTGCAAAGTGCGTCCGCTAATGCTTTTCCTCCTTCTGATCCAAGATCATTAAAATAGAGATTCAAATAAGTAAGCGTAGAGTTCTTGCAAAGTGCATCTGCAAATGCTTTTCCTCCTTCTGATCCAAGATTATTATATCGAAGATTCAAAGAAGTCAGCGTGGAGTTTTTGTGAAGTGCATCAGCCAATGCTTTCCCTCCTTCTGATCCAAGTTTATTAAAACAAAGATTCAAAGAAGTCAGCGTGGAGTTCTTGCAAAGCGCATCAGCCAATGCTTTTCCTCCTTCTGATCCAATATCATTCATACCAAGTTTTAGAGAAGTCAGCGAGATGTTCTTGCAAAGTGCATTTGCTAATGCTTTTCCTCCTTCTGATCCAATATGATTACCATTAAGATTCAAAGAAGTTAGCGTGGAGTTCTTGCGAAGTGCATTTGCTAATGCTTTTCCTCCTTCTGATCCAAGTCTATTATAATGAAGGTTCAAAGAAGTTAACATGGAGTTCTTGCAAAGTGCATTTGCTAATGCTTTTCCTCCTTCTGGTCCAAGATCATTATATCGAAGATTCAAAGAAATCAGCGTGGAGTTTTTGCAAAATGCATCTGCTAACACTTTTCCTCCTTCTGATCCAAGTTTATTAAAATAAAGATTCAAAGAAGTCAGCGTGGAGTTCTTGCAAAGTGCATCAGCTAATGCTTTTCCTTCTTTTGATTCAAGTTTATTATTAGAAAGATTCAAATAAGTCAACGCGGTGTTCTTGGAAAGTGCATCTGCTAATGCTTTTCCTCCTTCCGATTCAAGATAATTAAATTCAAGGTTCAAATAAATTAGCGTTGAGTTCTTGTAAATTGCATTCGCTAATGCCTTTCCTCCTTGTGATCTGAGATCATTATTTTTAAGATTTAAAAAAGTTAGCGTGGAGTTCTTGCAAAGTGCATCTGCTAATGATTTTCCTCCTTCTGGTCCAAGTCTATTATCAGCAAGATCCAAAGAAGTAAAAGTGGTGAATTTACAAAGTGCATCTGCTAATACTTTTCCATCTTTTGATTCAAGTCCATTCGAACGAAGATTCAAATAAGTCAACGCGGTGTTTTTAGAAAGTGGATCTACTAATACTTCTTCTCTTTCAAGGTCAGTGTCTCGAAGATAGAAATTTTTTAGCATGGTGTTCTTGCAAAGTGCTTCTAATAATGAGTACCCTCTGAGATTATTATTCCGAAGATCTAAATTTTTTAGCGTGTTATTCTTGCAAAGTGCACTTGCTATAGCATACGCTCCATCTAATCCAAGATTATTACATTGAAGATTCAAGGAAGTTAGTGAGGTGTTGTAACAAAGCGCATCTGCTAATGCTACTCCTACTTCCGACCCAAGAAGATTATCAGCAAGATTCAAAGAAGTCAGTGAGGTGTTTGTGCAAAGTGCATCAGCTAATGCTTTTCCTCCGTCTGATCCAAAATTATTGTTACTAAGATCCAGAGAAGTTAATGTGATGTTTTTGCAAAATGCATCAGCTAATGCTTTTCCTCCTTTTGGTCCAAGTTTATTATAATGAAGATTCAAAGAAGTCAGCGTGGAGTTCTTGCAGAGTGCATCTGCTAATGCTTTTACTCCTTCTGCTCCAAGCTCATTATCAGCAAGATCCAAAGAAGTAATTGTGGTGATCTTACAAAGTGCATCTGCTAATACCTTTCCTTCTTTTAATTCAAGTCCATTCGAACGAAGGTTCAAAGAGGTTAACGCGGTGTTCTTGGAAAGTAGATCTACTACTTCTCCTCTTTCAAGATCAGTGCCTCGAAGATATAAATTTTTTAGCATGGTGTTCTTGCAAAATGCTTCCAATAATGCGTATCCTCTAAGATTATTGTTTCGAAGATCTAAATTTTTTAGCGTGTTATTCTTGCAAAGTGCACTTGCTATAGCATATCCTCCATCTAATCCAAGATTATTACATTGAAGATTCAAAGAAGTTAGTGAGGTGTTGTTACAAAGCGCATCTGCTAATGCTATTCCTACTTCCGATTCAAGAAGATTGTCAGCAAGATTCAAAGAAGTCAGCGAGGTGTTTGTGCAAAGTGCATCAGATAATGCTTTTCCCCCTTCTGATCCAAAATCATTGTTACTAAGACCCAGAGAAGTTAATGTGATGTTTTTACAAAGTGCATCAGCTAATGCTTTTCCTCCTTCTGATCCAAAATTATTGGTACTAAGATCCAGAGAAGTCAATGTGATGTTTTTGCAAAGTGCATCAGCTAACATTTTTCCACCTTCTGATCCAAAATGATTTTTACTAAGATCCAAAGAAGTTAATGTGATGTTTTTGCAAAGTACGTCTGCTAATGTTTTCCCTCCTTCTGACCCAAGGTAATTAGAACCAAGATTTAAAGAAATCAATGTGGAGTTTTTGCAAAGTGCATTAGCTAATGCTCTTCCTCCTTCTGATCCAAGATTATTCGAATAAAGATTCAAGTATTTCAAGACATTGTTCTTGCTAAGAACCTTCGCTAGTTCCTTCCCCTCTTCATTACCAATATGATTATAACTAAGATTTAAAGAATTTATAACAGCGTTTTTATAAAGAGACTTTAATAATATTTTCACTCCTTCAGATCCAAATTTATTAGATTCAAGACTTAAGGAAGTCAAAGAATAGTTCGTATAAAGGATATTTACTAATGCATCCATTGCCTTAGGCTTAAAACCATCTTTGATTTTATATAAATTCATTGAGGTAATAGTAGTGTTCTCATAAAGTTTTTCAAATATTATTTGGTTGCAAATAAGTCCATTAAGACTTAAATGTTTAAGATTCTTACTAGTTCGTAGAAACATTGCGATTAAAGAACATATAATAGCATTTTCAAGCTCATGTCTTTCGTCGTACTTTTTACAATTAAGCCAATCACTAACACCACCATAAAAATCATTGTTAACGGATGTGATATAACTTGTATATTCAAATAGTGGTTTTGGATGACTTGGAATGGTAATTTCAAAAGGAGTTAATAGAGATTGCTCCTCTGCATTTAACGATATAAGAAATATTCTTATAAGTCTTGAATTTTTAAAATGATGTTCCGGTTCACTCCACAAAATTGGTATAGTAATTCTACACCATTGACGGTTTACAAGCGAACATGAAAACAGGCTTTTATGATTATGTCGGAGGTTATTAAATATCGAATAGTAGCATTCATTCGGTAATGATATCATATTGAAAAATTACTACATGTACTGTTCGTACGTACGTGCGTACATTTATGGCTTCAGAAAAGTTGTGAAACGTTGCCAAAAATCAAAAATGGAGTCCGCAATAGCGATAAAGTTCGT